GCAGCAGCAGCAGCAGCAACCAGGTACCCCCTCTCATCACGATATCTCCGCAACCTCTCCTCCCCTCGTAGAGTTCTCTCATACCGCTCCATCTCCTCCCGCCTTACCAGGCTCTCCTGCAGCCAAACCACAGTCCCCTCCTCAGCTTCTTATTCCAGCAGACGCTCCTTCCATGTCTGCCCAAGACACATTGACCGCACGTCCTAGAATGAATCCTTCATTCCTTGGAGCTCAACCCGCCATCAATATTATGCCAGCCACACCCGTTTCAGGTGGGGCAGCTGCAGAAACCGTTTCTTTTCAGAGCGTTTTACGCAACCTTTCGGGCAATCGCCATAGAAGAGGTAACGAGCTTTTATCATCACTCTCTTACATTTAGACTTGCCCTGACGGTGATTCTTTTCTTTTCACATAGACTCGGATGGGCGTCAATTTGCACGGACGGGAATTCCCGAGGGTTTTCATCGGAACGGCGGCACTGCGCCGGGTTCTTCATCTACGGAATCCACCGTTCTACCTTCCATTTCCTCTTTCGCCCCTCCTCTTGGTGATTTCAAAGGATTAATGAACCAAGATGTCGAACGTACACAGGGCCAAATGGACCCAGCCAGTACACAAGAGGCAGTGTCCTGGTCCCTTTTCAGCGCATCTGGCCAGAGTCAAGGCACCGCCTCAACACTGCCAGTTCGGTCTTACCACCATGGTTATAATCTACCTGCAATTCCTTCATTTTTGCCTCACAACCAAAGTCAACAACTCCCGCATCAGGACTCTATGAACGCCAACAATGCCCATCCACCCTTTGACCACACCCAGTCGGCTCCTTCTACCATACCAACGACCTCAACGCTACTAGGCTCACAACAATCCTTCCCTCAGGCCTCTCAGACCGCTGTGAATCATATGCATTTCGGTCCCAACTTCCTTTTGGCACCATCGCAGACAAGGTCGAGGAGCAAGTCAGATACATCGACTCGTCCTCCTGTGTGGGCCATCACCCCTCCTGCTTCATCTCCAGCAGGTACAAGTGACGTCGGGCCAGATGAGGGGTTGTCTTCATCCCTTCAACAACCCAACCAGAATGCCCGTGGTTCATTCAACGTACAGCCCCACTATTTGACTAGCCCAAGCCCCGAGCTCGACTTTAACCTTATCTCGGGGGACTTGGCATCATCTCTACGCAGAGCAAATTCGGATGGTCAACGACATAAGAGGTCTGCAAAGTCTGAGGATCTATCGTCCCTGAGGACACCTCGGCTGATACCTACGTCCAATGCTGACTTCATCCGGCCTGTCAAGATGGACGATGGGTCATTGGCGCCGATTGACCCAAGGACCCAGATGGCTGCTGTCACAGGTAGCTCAAGTAGCAATGGTGGACCATCGCGACGTCGCGGGTCATCCAGTGGACACGAGCGCAACGCTTCCTTGTCTTCTTTAAGAAGCGCGCCGTACTCTAAACCTTCACCGCATGCAAGCCCAGTCCCTTCTCCTCACCACTCACCTCTTGTGAGCAACAAGAACTTGCCGAGTATCGATTTGAAGGTTGAGAGGCCGCTAGTAACAACCCCAGCTACCAAAAATGCTTCGGCGATCAGGCGAAGAGCAGAGGCCACCTTTGTGTGCCAAGTTCCAGGATGTGGTAGCACTTTTACTAGACACTTCAACTTGAGAGGTGTGTACTCGTCTATGATTCTTGGCTTTGAATCCAGCTAATCATTTGGTTACTAGGGCATATGAGATCACACAATGAAGAGAGGCCCTTCAAATGCAAATGGCCAGGATGTGAAAAGGGCTTTGCTCGCCAGCACGATTGCAAGCGCCACGAGGCACTTCATCTGAATATCCGGCCCTACACCTGTGAAGGCTGCCACAAGACTTTTGCTCGGATGGACGCCCTCAATCGGCATTGTGAGTTTTGTTTGTGTTGTGGAGAAACGACTTTATTCTAACTCGCTCGATCAGTGCGCTCCGAAGGTGGCATAGAGTGTCAGCGACAAACACAAACGGGCGAACTGTCTGGAACACCAGGCAGTTCCTCTGATGGACACTATCAAAGCGTGGAGAATGCCGAAAGCACAGCCTGGCAACAGGGTGGTGGCGGCATTCTCATGTAATGTGCCGTCACCCAAGTCTGTGCCGCTCAGGACCATCATTGGATCCACTCTTATCTATCACTTATGCCACGGCAGAAGTTGTTATGTGCTTTTCTGCTCTTTCTTTTCTCGATGGTATATTTTTACAGCTTGAACTCTGGCTCTTACACGTTTAACATATCACCTTGTTTGATCGTTTATATCTCATGCAGGACGCTCTCCCATTCCTCACTCCCGTCTTGTTATGTATATATCTCTCAGTTTTGTTTCCTCCTATATGTTGGTCCAGAAACCTTACTCTAAATGGGTGTCCGACCTTGCACTGGCACTTGACTTCTATAGTACTTTCCTTCGCTGTAGCATTGGGTCATAGTAGTCCTGCCAGAACTCTTTTCTTGTATCATTAATGGAATTGTCAATGAAAATCAACCTGATCTGCTTTGGAGCAATAGTTGTAACAATCTCCGTGGCTTTGGCTTTGGACACTTGAGGGATTCTGGAAGCGGAACTCTGCTCACGTAACAAAATACTCACGTAACAAAATCAGATCTCATGAACAAAATATCAGGTCGATGCCGGATTCGAACCGGCGTTGCCGGAAATCTTCCAGTTTCTGGATATCAGAATCCGGAGTGATAACCACTACACTAATCAACCGCTGAGATGTTTGGAAAAGTATTGTGATTCGAAGTATATTTTTTTTGGCTTGGCAGTAATCAGAAGATTCTTCTAATAACGAGCGCCTCCGTTCGCATTAATGTGGGATCGGCACGGAACTGTTTGTTTGATGACGGGTAGGATCCTTCCCCGTTGTAATCACCCACTCCAAGGAACCGATCCCGGGTGCTCATCGAGTGGGCAATTTCCACTTTTGTTTCATCATCACCTAGTTTCTTTTACGTTTCTACTCGATCCTCAGCACCCCGACGTGGCGCCTTGGGCGGTCCAATCAAAACGATGACGCAGTCGTTTGATATAATTTAGCAAGACGCCCTGCGGATCCCCTGATTTGACCAGCCTGGATGAACGCATGATGACTATGAATGACGCAACGTATGCTACCAGATACACTATATAAGACGGATGAAGATATCGGTTAAAATCTTAAAGAAAGAAATTTGACTCACTCATACCTCACTACACCTCATAACCAATCTCATCATGTCAAGCGGAAATGTTGGCAACGTTGCTGGTGGCCACAAAGTGAGGAACGCATTTGTTGCATTGCCAAACTTTCACTAACTCTTCCAATTGTTTCTAGGCTGCCTTGAAGAACCCAAATGTTTCTGAAGAGGCTAAGGAGGTACAAAATCAATTTTCTTTCTGATTCGCATATCCTTACGGTACATCTCCAGCACTCCAGACAAGTCCTGGAAGACATGGAACAAAGCGGAGAGATCTCCGAACACGCAAAGGCTGCCTCTGATGATTCTGGCAAAAACGAAGGCAATGTCATCGGAGGATACAAGGCAACCCTGAAGAGTATGTTGTTAACGCGTAGTTTCTGTGAAAAAGTCAACTAACAGGGGCGTTTAATAGATCCTAATGTCGGCGAGGAAGCAAAGGAACGCGCAAAGGAGGTGCTGGAGAGTAAGGGTGTGAGCGTCGAGTAGTCAGATATTCCTTGTAAAGTTGTAAAGTCCAAATGATTATTCTTGAATTGCGTGTTGAGCCTTGGCGTAAAAAGAGTAACACGTGACTACTTTGACTTTGAGAATCCAGATTTGGCGGAAATGATTCACTTCCTCCACCATTCGTCCTTTCCTTCGTACAGCTTGAAATCCGTTTGTCATGGCTCCCAAAAGGGAGACTGTTATGGCTCATGCACTCCGCACACCTGCTTTCAACAAGTTGGCCAGTAAAGGTCGAATCGTGCTGGCTTCTGCTTCGCCACGCCGAAAGGAAATTCTGAAGATCTTCGTATGCATGATACCCCAATAGGCCTGTTTCAATGAGAGGTCTCACACCCCAAATTATTTTCAGGGAATAGACCCAGAAACCATTCCTTCCACGTTTAATGAGGACCTCCCTCATTCGGATTTTCCCAATGTTTATGAATACCCAGTTGCAACTGCTACACAAAAGGTAGGCCGCTTCAATGGTCGAACAGGCTGAAGTTGATGGAGGGGTTTCAATTTATAATTTTAAGGGCTTAGAAGTGTATGAGCGTCTGGTGGTGAGTTGCGCCAACAAGAACTATATGCAGACAGTTTTGCTATAGTCTGAAGTACACAAGTTACAAGACCCCGAAAGCCCGCCTGATCTCGTGATCGCCGGTAAGGTGTCTTGGATAAATCAACCAGAGTGGTTTTCTAAGTATTTTGAATTGCAGTTGATACAGTTGTCTTGACGCACATCACCCCACCCACGTCCGATGTATCGCCGTCGCTCTTTGACGATACTCCGAGGCCAGACATATTGGAAAAACCCACCTCAAAAAAAGATAACCTTCGTATGTTGCTGGATCTCAATGGTCGCAGCTGTGAAGTTGTGACCGGAGTGGTTGTCAGTGAGTACTTCAAGGTTGACTCTAAATTGAAATAGCTAACAATGTTGCAACAGTATATCCTGTATTGGTTTCCCCAGGGTATGCCATAAAGTATGTCCTCCCCTTTTAAGCGATTTCGTCGCCTAAATAGATGTAGGTCGATGGAGGATCGGACTCTAGTTACCTTCGCGGAAAACCCCGTCTCCCTACTCGAGGCTTACGTTGACAGTGAAGAAGGATTGGACAGAGCTGGAGGATTCAGCGCCCAGGTAGGTCGAAATCTTGAGACTTCGCTTTGACAAGCGGCTCGATGACTTGTCCATAGGGCCTAGGTGGCTTGTTAATTCGCAAATTTGATGGGGATTTTTATAATGTAGTTGGGTTCCCTGCAGCGGCGTTCTTCAAATTTCTCGAGCTTCTTATTAAAGAGGAAGACGACTTTTTGGCCTTGGATTGACAAGCCTATTTAGATACAAATGTGTTGTAAACCTTGCAGGTGGACCGCATCAGATCACGTGCAACCGCAGAGAAGCCAACGACTCGAGATTCAACCCATAATCCCTGGCATCAGAGCTCAGATCCTCATACGCTTGATACAGTATATAGATGTTGAGAAGACATCTCATGCTCCTTAACGAAGTTCAGTCCTTATGCCCGCGCAGCCAGGTTTTAGTTTCCGCAGCCATGTCGCGGCCCTCACGCATACTGCGAGTTTAGGAGGTCGCTGCGCAAGAAAGCAAGATCATACCATATATTCTGCTGGCAAAATGGGCAATACCCCAGCATCTTAGTTAATCTCTCCCGCTGACTATAACCGCCAAATGTCAGAATTGTGTCCAGTATATGCCCCATTCTTTTCGGCGATGGTCAGTATTATTGGCTAAATACTCAGATCTCGTCCATATTCTAACTTCTCATGCTGGTAGGGTGTGATGTGTGCAGTGGTATTTTGCGGTAGGCACAGACTATCTCGGAAATTTTACCCTCGATAGCTCCTAATGATCTTCCTTCTTGTTGGAATACACTAGGATTTGGCGCAAGGTAATGACATCAGAGAATTGTTTCCGCTTTGATGGACAGTTCGCTAATCGCGTCCCTATAGCTATGCCACTGCCAAATCTGGAGTAGGAATCGCTCAAGTTTCTATCCTGCGCCCAGAGATCATGATTAGATGCTGCATTCCAATCGCAATGGCCGGAATTATCGGTGTTTATGGTATGGTAGTGAGCGTCATTATAACAGACAGCGGTGCGTTTCAGATTCGAACAGCGAAGCACTTCCAACCAATTTTTGTTCCTTTAGTCGATGCTGTGATGTCTCTATACCAGTCCTCTTTCCATCTTGCAGCAGGCCTCGCAGTCGGCCTCTCTGGCCTGGCTGCTGGATTTGCTGTTGGTATAGTTGGAGATGCAGGCGTGAGAGGTACTAGCCAACAACCAAGATTGTACATTGGAATGGTAAGTAGCCTTGAAACAACAGCCAAATCACATCCCCTGTGAAGAGTAACTACTAAAAGCAGTTATTGGGCTAAAATTAGGTTTTGATTTTGATCTTTGCAGAAGTGCTTGGGCTTTATGGTGCGTCCCCTTAACCAGCGTTTTCTTGGTGATCCTTGGACTCAGCACGAATTCTCAGGGCTCATTGTCGCTCTTTTGATGACATCTAAAGCCAATCAAGCTCCAAGGAGCCTGTGTATCTAGGGTGAACACAAATTTGCTCGTGGACGGTAACTTTCCAGATAGAGCCAGACCGAATAGGCAACCCAGAAGATGTCGATTCTTATATAAATACATCATTAAAGAATTAGATGTCTATTGAGTGTGATAAGCATCTAATCTTCAATAAGGGAGCAATTTGTGAAGGATCAGACGATGAATTTCATTATCATGTCTACTCCAGAGTATGACTATTTTGATACATTCTGAAGATGAGACCGGTGCAATCATCTTGACATGATGTATGAGACTCGGAAATTTGTATGACGGTTAGATGAATTCGCTGGAAGGAGCCCACACAATTTAAGACTATTTCGCCCGTCTATTCCGTTTGTTGGAGTTAAGATCTTGTTCACAGGTGTTGCACACGATTGCTTCGAATGCGAACGATAATGCTCCTGGTATCCAACTGGTATTATATCGAGTACACGCACACAATGGTATACTGATCGGGGTAGCTGCCTCTTCATCCAACAATCTTGGCTGTAGCGAAGCACCCTCATGCCAGGGTAAAGCACAGGAACTTTTTATTAGGATGGATCGATCGCGGAG